GATTTTAAACTAACGTACCTATTGACTAACCAACATTTAACAGAACTGTTACGAATAACTTTAACTGACGTAAAACCAGATTTTGAAAATTTGGCCAAGGTGCTCTTTTCAATTTTCTTTAGTATCTATCTTACGTACATTAGAATAATAATCAAATAAAATAATAATAATGTTTTTCATTTCCAATAATAATTTTATTTAAAAACAAAATTTTTGCTTTTGTTGTTTTTTTTGTGGCACTTTGTAGCATTTAGAACTTACATGTGGCTCTCTTCGGCCTCGGCCTTGCCCACCCCTGGTATATTGGAAATCAGCGTCCTAAATATATCCCAAAAATATCCATGAATAATTTTTTCTACCTAGCTTTTGAAATATCGGATTGTCGATACTGAATTAAATGGAAACAAATTATTACTGATTAGTTTAAACAAATGATTATATAATATTTCAGGATTTATAGGATATATTAAAAATATATATATGTATGTATTAGGCTGTCCATCGAAATTGTTTTTTTTTTTTTTAATTTCAAAAACCCTACCCCCTTATTTCATTTGTTTTTATGATTTTTTAAATGTTATTTAGAGGTCGATTTAGGTCAGAAAATACGATTTTGTAGATTTATGAGTTTTTGAATGACTATTTTTGATTCGGTTTCAAAGATCGAATAGTATATAATAATCGATTTTCGGACTTGGCTTATTGGGATTTTTTATCGGGTAAAATAAAGAAACCATATTTCTCTTAATTATTTCGCCTAAAATATTGCTAGCTTTAAGTTTTTGAAATTACCGTTACGTTGGTGGAGCCCATTGTTTTTAACCGATTTCAAAAATTTTCAATATGACGCTTAAGAGCGTAAGCACAATGTGTATTTCATATATATTGGTTAAGATCGGTAAAATAGTTTTTGAGATACACATATATGATTTAAGTGGGCGTTGCCACCCCTATTTTCGCAAAATTTACCGAAAAACCACTCCTTTGCTAAAGAGCGATTGTATATATCAATTTTGAATAAATGTTAATGAATTCCTTAGCCACACTGCTCAAAGAATCTGAAATTCCGGTAAAAAAAATATAATTTCAAGAAAAGTCGCCTAACTTCGACAATTTTTATGCGATTGCAATAAATGAGCTATCAGTTTATTTAAAACTAGATTTAATTTTAGATAGTACTACACATTTTTAAATTGTGGAAATTATCGATGGTCAAAATTTAAGAGATTAAGAGGAAATTGTTTTTCTTTATATTTTATCCGTTAAAAAAAATCTCAACAAGCCAAGTCCGACAATAGATTATTACAAACCATTTTAAAGGCCTATATATCCTCTTCTCAGGTCATATTCGATCTTTGAAATAGTCATTCAAAAACTCATAAATCTACAAAATCGTATTTTCTGAACTAAATCGACAGGTCGCGGCCTTTAAAAAATCTATAAAAATAGCCAATAATATTTCTCAGAAAAACGAATAAAATTAGGGGGTACCCTCTTGAAATTTCCAAAAAAAATCATTTTCGATGGGCACCCTAGTATATATTATATTATATATACAGTTATCCTTTAATAGATAACACTGTGAGACAAATGGTAGGGGTCAGTGATCGGGAAGGGTTCAAACTACCGGGGAAAGTTATATCGGTAAAAAAGAAGTTATACGTGTCCCGGCGTTTCGCTGGGTCACGTCTAGGAATCGAGATATATCGATTTGAAGTTAGTAACTATCGTGTAGGGAAAATTGTCACCTTTGGTGGTCTTTTTTTTTGACATAACTCGAGAACCACTACTCCGATTTTGCTCAAACAAATTAAAAAAAATTAAAAATTACAATTCCTTTAATCTGTTCATATAACGTTTTTCTATATAATCAACAGTTTTGCCGGTAAAAATAAATGTATGAAGAAAAAAAATATTTTTTGCCTAAAATATTAAATTTTTTTATTTTTTAACACCTGATCTTGTGGAGCCTCGTATTTAATTAGTATCGTATCTAATTAGTTTTCTAGTGCTAAAGCTTTTAATGTACCAAGAGTGTCATAAAATACACCGAGAAAAGAGTTTCATTACGTCAACTAAATGTGTTTTTTTGTGTCTCACCATCAAAATTCTAATGAATTTTTATCTGTTCTCTCGTAAAGAGAGAAATGTTAGCAAAACTAGCAAAAACTTGCAAGTTTTTAGTACAGCTGATCGAAATTTTATCTACATACAAAAGCATAAAACAGAAAACATGAAAAGAATATAAATTAAATGTTTTCCTAAAGCAATTTGCTAATCAAACGTGAGTAAATGAGTATTTCCTTTCTTCCGATACATTTGCAATTCTAATAAGTTATTTCAAACTTAAAAATAATAATAATAAATCTAAATCCAAAATAAATTTTCATATTTTCACAAATTGAAAACGGATGACTTTGATCAGCTGTTTTTCTTGCTGGCAAATGGCTGGCAAAATTTTTCCAGCAGAAACCAGCAGCTTTTCATCAGAATTAAATGTCAATTTGGTCTCTCAATTTCCCCTACTTTGCTGGATTTTTGTGTACGCGAATAAACCTATTTATAAAATAAAAAGCTCTACGATTTCCACATGAGGGTGACTGATTTTCACATGAGTGGAACGGATTTCATTGTCACATATGAAAAATATGAATTTAAAAGCAAAAAAGCTTTTGACTGCCTTAGCTGAGTAGGTAGAGATGTCGGCTATAAATTCTGTGTGTCGCAGGTTCAAATGCCGGCACGTGCAGTATTTAAATGATAGAAGCAAATTTTTTAATATACAAAATTTATAATTTTCAAATGAAATTTCAATTTCTAAACGGTTGTCAATAGCATTTTCAATATTGATAATTTATCAAGAAAAGAGGTTTTTGATTTCTGTGCCAGAATTCCAATTCTTGATAAATAATAAAAAATTTACAAATTACAAAAAAATTGTATTTATCAAGTGCACAGAATCGGACGGCACATATCGATGGCTGAGTGCAAGATCGACCTATCTCGGCAGTCAGTTCGAAAACGCTCTATCTCAAAAAACTTTTCAAGAACACCCTATTTCAGAATTCGTTTCAAAAACGCCCTATCTCAGCTGCCGATTCAAAAACGCCCTATATCAGCATATTTTCAATACATTTTGAAGTGAGATAGGACGTTTTTGAACCGAATCTTGAGATAGGTTGTTTTTCAATTAAATTCTGAAATAGGGCGTTCTTGAAAAGTTTTTTGAGATAGAGCGTTTTCGAACTGGCTGCTAAGATAGGTCGATCTTCCACTCAGCCATCGATATACACATAGTTTACTAAGTTTTTATCCAGAATCTTCAATGTTACAAATAAGGTCCAGGTGTCCATGGTCTGATTAATATTGGTCTTATATATGACATGACTATTGACTTTGCCAAGTTTCAACATTAAGAGATGGGGTTACTCTCCTAAGGTGATTTTCTGGCTGCATGAAACCACAATGAAACCCATGATGTTTTATGGTGTCTTCGCCTTGTGTGATTGACTAATGAAGTCTATGCTAGTCAAAGAACTGGAGAGGGTATAAAGGAATGCCTTAATTGGAATCAAGGCTACTTCAGCGAAGGCTTCGGTCAGATTAAGGGGCACCGCGTGCTAAACTGACTCAGGATCTGGACACTCGTAACATTCTTGGCTCTTTCGCCACTCACATCCCCTCTTGGAATGAATTAATGGAAAGCAGTGGCTGAAAAGAGGCACCGCTGAGCTTCCACATGAATCGGTTTAAGCTTTTTGGAAGGGTAGTAGGTGGAAAGATATTTTGCAGGGAGCTCACAAGCGTTTAAAATTTCCTCCAATCGGAGTATATTTACTAAATTTTTTTAACCATTTTTAGATCTACTTCTCTAATCCGCTCAATTTCCTTTAAACTCATACCCTGATCATGTAAGCGCTTAAAAAACCTGACTTTACAAAATTAGTCAATCTAACTTCTTTAATTCGGCTTTAGAAAAAAAAAATTTATCATAAAACATTTAGGACGTTACATACTAGCGTAAGAAAGTTTCCATAAAGATTTTATTTCCGAATTCAAATTGAGAATGCAGGAAGCTAATAGTTAACAAGGGCTCTTAATATCATGATTCCCACAGAAACAAAATAAAAAATTAAAAGCCAAATCTACTACAAAAATGCCATTTACTCCGATTTTTCTGTTAATTTACTCCTGAACCGACATTCAGTGGACTGCACGATGGGGTCCACTATCAGCATCAAATTTAGACCCCGGTGACTTCCTAACATTTCTTAGTCAAACTCGTGTATATGGGTGCGAGGCGGGTGATCTGGTCAACTAAAGCACTGTAGTCAGCCTCCCCAGGAAAAGAGAGAGTGGAAGTACCTTTGACTGCAAGGCGACTTCTCTTGGATAGAAAGGCCTTGTGGCAGCTCAGCAAACCCTGGGCGAAAATCAAGAAATGTGTTAAAGCATTATCTTAGTTAGCGAGAGTGGGCTGGTTGCGTCCAAGAGAACTCCTTAGGCTCACAAAGCCGTGGTGTTGGCACCACAATGTACCATTGGAACTCAAGAGGCAAAACTAAATATCCCACCGGATCCTCACTGCTCAAAGCTTGATCTTAAACCGCTCAGCTTTTTCAAGGCTACGGTCTAAACACCTAACCAGGATGAGGGAGCTCTCCAGGATTGACCTCTGCCGCATGCGAAACTCTCTAGATGATAAGAGTTTTTCGCTATATCTTAGCAGTTACCGTCCATAGGGGAGACTGATGGCTATGATCCACGTTTGTCCCTACTTGGGGCAACCACGTAAACCTAACCTTACCTTACCGCGCCTGTTGGAGCAGATTTTAATTATCGACGAACACACGAATATCGCCCGTCTTAGATAAGTTTTGTGATATCAAATGAAGTATAAATAATTAATTTTGAAGCGCGGCAAATCCTGTTGAGTGTGAATATTAAGGACGCTTGAGGGGGCTAATATTATTAATGCTAAATGGTGTTAGAAAACAAACCTGGTGTTAAGTCCGTCATATCTGGGTTTTGAAATATATTAACACCACTATCATCATCAGCTGATTTTTTTGTGGTATTGCTGCAAAAGTTTTTTTTATTACTTGTAGTTTGCGTTTGATGATTTGTTGCTGTTGCCGCTGGGTAAGAGGCCTCGGCCATCATGGGCAATGGTGACGTCATATCCGAACCAGACCAAGAAGCGCATTTCGATTGACGTGAATTCAGTATTGGTATTTTACTTGCTATTACACCAACAAAACCCGGGGCCACATTGTTCTTAGAACTAGCCGCAAAATCGCCATCGAAACCAGACCGACTCCAGCCGCTAGTCTCAATATTAGTAGGCGCTATAGTTGGATTTACCAAAGCGAACCCAATTCTTTCAGGTGCGCTGTTATCTTTGATGACTTCATCGTTTTTTCTCACATTAAGGACGCTAAGCTCCTCTTCCTTTTCCACAACAGTGCCGTCGCAATCATTGCGATTGAATTTTTCTTCTGACATTAATGGTTGGCTTATTGGTTTAGTTTTTACGCCACACTGAATGATTTTGTTTGTTAGCTGTAATGCCGCCTCTTTTTCATTAGAACATACATCTCCATCGTTTGCAAGTTGAGTGCCTACAGTATTAACAACTGCATTGTCTTTTACAAGAGTAACTGCTGCAGCCAGTGCATCATAATATAAAGACTCCTCAGCGTGTGAATTTTCTTAACAGAAATGAAAAAATAAAGTTTTAAAATTAGGAGGGAAATACCACCGGTTTACTAACTAAAAATAAATCTAAAGTGTTGTGTACTTAAACTTACATAACTTTTGAACATCATACTAGGAAAAACTCATTGGACGTAAAGCTAAGTGTACACGGTAGAGAAAAAATGCGAGATTTAGACAAAAATCACGCAAGACACGCATAAACACTCAATAGAGCTCTACGATAGACTAACCTCCAAAGTCTACGTGAGAGTTATTTAGCGAGACTTTTTCGCCGTGTACACAGTCCAACGCAGCTAGATCAAAAACTCTCCGTCAACTCTACGCTCTATTTAGCAAGCTAAATAGACTTTTTGCTCTACGGAGACGTATGGTAAAGTCTTGACCAAGAATTTCATTACAGATTGTTAAATTTTTAAATGGCTACGGAATTAAATCGTATATTCGATACAAGCACACCATTTTAGGTACATTTAGAACATAGCCAAATAATGTATCGGGAATCATTCTCTTATTCTCATTGGCATTTCAATGGCTTTTCCAATAGCCTGGTAACAGTCGTTGCTTGAGTTATCTGCTGTTTTGTCAGAGTGCCAGGCCACTTGATAAACTTTGTGAATACCTATATATGGGGAGTTCCATACCAAAACGGATGGGGTTCACACTTTATGTGTTTGATTTGTTGATGCATAAACATAAATAATAAATAAATAAGAAATTTGAGCTTGATTAATACATTTTTAAAAACTTTATAGCACAAAAACAAAAACAAATCGATTTAATAGTTTTCCAAATATCTCGAGAAGGGGGCGAGGAAAAATTTGAAAAAAATCCCACATACACACATCAAAATTCTCTATGAAAAGAAATATTTTTAAAACTCTTCACATCCACATTTTTTGATAAAATAAAATTAGAGTTTGAAAATATGCCATCTCAAAAAAAATAAAAAAAATCACAATGTAGCTCTGAGTATTGTGCAATATTTAAGTATAGTATTATGGGGTGCACTCTACAATAATTTGAGTTATGAATTTTTTTTACACCGAAGTTGAGTAAAATGAGTACAAATGTAAAATTTTTTTAAATTTATTTAAGAATTTTTTTGACTATGTAGTTTTGTAGCCCATTAAATTTTAGTATAATATTCTTGTTCCGCGCCTCGTTCTCGGGATATTAAATCGATTTGTTTTTGTTTTTATGCTGTTAAGTTTTGAAAATGTATTAATCAAGCTCAAATTTCATATTTATTTATTATTTATGTTTATGCATCAACCATACAAATTTTAAACAAAGTAGAAACTTGAAGTGTGAACCCCGTCCATTTTGATATGCAACGCCCCATATACATAGTAGTTTGGCTGGAACTGCTCGGAGAAACTCCTTTCAAGGGAATTTTAAATATTAAAGATTGTTTAATGTGAGTCCAAAAGCACACATAGTAACGAAGAGAGAGGTTTCCATGTTTAATTTTTAGGTACATTTGCTACTTTGAGGTAAAATTTTTTCGGCAAATAAGTACAATTTGAAAATTTAATTCTTGTCCATATTGCGAAAATGTATTTTATGACGACATCAAATAGGTTAATGCTGTCAAATCGACAAAGGGTTAGCGCTCCGCTGATGGCTCAACTATATTTTCTATATCGTGGCTTTCATATAAATACACATCGACTGCTGAGTGGAAGATCGACCTATCTTAGCAGCCAGTTCGAAAACGCCCTATCTCAAAAAACTTTTCAACAACGCCCTATTTCAGAATTTTATTGAAAAACATCCTATCTCAAAATTTGGTTGAAGAACGCCCTATCTCACTTCAAAATCTATTAAAAATGTGCTGAAATAGGGCGTTTTTGCATCGGCATCTGGGATAGGGCGTTTTTGAAACGAATTCTGAAATAGGGCGTTCTTGAAAAGTTTTTTGAGATAGGGCGTTTTCGAACTGGCTGCCGAGATAGGTCGATCTTCCATTCAGCAGTCGATATGTATATACATACAACAAGCGTTGACAACAATTCGAGATAGAAAATTAACTCTAGGCGAGAGGTAACTATTGTCTACCGTGTACACAGCTTGTAGAGTACGAGATAGAGAAAAGTTGAGATTTCTCTATTTTGACTCTAGCTAGAGTGAATATCTCCTAGAGTTGCTCTACCATGTAAACTTAATTGAGAGAGGAGATTTTTATTTCAGTAAAACCCTAGAGATTTCTCTTAAAGATAAATCAAAGATTCATAATACAGTGATACAAAAAGAAGGTTTGTGTCTCCGATTGTGCTGAAACCAGAAGTAAGTGAAAGTTTGCACCTTCCATAGGAAAACCACAAAATGATTTTTAACCTACAAATGTGGTTTTGTTTATACGCATGCAATGTTGGTGAATTTTGAAATACCCTGTATATAGGAAAAATTTAGTAAAGTTTTGACAATTTCCTTTTATGATTTCAATTATCTTTTTATGAGTACAAGAATAAAGTTAATTCTGCAACAAAAAACATACAAATCAATGTTTTCAACCTTCGACAAAATTTATAAAAATAGAGCAAATGAACAACTTTTCATAAACATATTAAACTTTTGTATCAGAATTTTGGAAAAGAATTATCAGAAGGTGTGCAAATTTTAGAATAATGAAGTTCGATGATAGTTTTTTCGCAAAGTCGAATTTAAAATCAAGTGGGAAAACACATATTGAGGGAATTTCTCCTATATTTTTTAAAAATTGGGCAGGTAACTTGCTAACCTTCTTAAAATGCTTTTCCAAAAATGCTTGCAGAATGGATCCAATTGTCAAGCAATGCACCATCACCATGGTTAAGTTATTTGATAGTAAACTTCAAACATTTGATATTGGAGAATTCTTTCGTTGAAGGTAGAGATATATCGATTTGAAGAAGTACATGATTAGTCAGAATCACGAAAAAATGCGAACTTTGACAGATAATATCTCCGAAGAAAAAAAAAATATTTTAATAAATATTGATGAAGTCCTTAGCCACACTGCTCAAAAATTCTGAAAGTCCGGTTCATAAACAATATAAATTCTAGGCCGTATTTAAGAAAAATTGCCTAACTTCGACAATTTTTATGCGATTGCAATAAAAGAGTTTTATTTGAAAATAGGTTGAATTTTAGATAGTACTACACATTTTGAAACTGTGAAAATGGGTGATGTCAAATAAAAAAAAAAAATTTAGCAAAAATATTTTTTTTTTATAGTTTTCCCGATGAAAAATGCCAACAATCCAAGTCTGATAATAGATTATTATATACCATTTTAAAGGCCTAAATTTCCTCTTCTCAGATCATATTCGATCTTTGAAACCGAATCAAAAATAGTCATTCAAAAACTCATTGTTAGAAAAGATACGGCAACACCCTAGCGAATCGAAAGGAATTTATGGGGGACGTTTCCGTGATGGTTTTGACATTCTGCCTTTTGATGCCTTTTTTTACACGTGTGCACACGGTGGTGGAGCACATGACCATACACGCTCTAGAGGGAGCCGCTCGAGATGCGGTCAGGAACTTACTCTTACACACTTCATGCGTATCGTAAATAATCGACACGATAAGAGTGAAGTTTGGGCACCCCGAGATTATTATCGCTGTACTCGTGACACGAATCCGGGAAATACCAGTCATAAAGGAGAACCGTCTTGAGGCTTTAGTCGACTTAGCCTTAGAGGTACAAAATGTTTGCGCAACAATGAAGGCTTCGAATATGCTGTGCCATCTCAACAACTCCGAGCTGGAGCAAGAGCTAGTGAACAAGTTGCCCGGACTTCTTGCCATATTTTGGGGTATGCACAAGTTGCAGCTATCCTCCTGCAATCTCGAGAACCTCTCGGACTGGCTATTTCAACTCGCCCAAGGAGCAAATAGTGTACTGGTGCCATCCGTGTCTACAAAGCCATCCACCAAACGAGAATACTTAAATGCTCACGCTGGCGATGTCAGAACTGGGAAACACAGCTCGTGCGTCATATGTCATGGAAAGTGTAGTACTACGGAAAATTGCAACAAATTTAGGGCTGCGGATAGAGCGGAGAGGTGGAACTTAGTGCGCCTAAGTAATTTGTGCCGTCGCTGCTTAAAGTTACACCTTCGTCTTCAATGCCCCTCCGATGCCGCATGTGGGATAGATGGTTGCGTTTCCCTACACCATCCCTTACTGCCCAAACACCGGAACAATCCAGTTAGTTCACCATTGGTTAACTCCACGCTAAACACTCATAGCTGCGACACGGAATCAATTTTATTTCGTTTTCTACCGGTAATACTTTATGGTAAGAGCGTAAAGATTAAAACATACGCATTCTTCGATGACGGTTCGTCAGTTACGTTGATGGACGCCGAACTACAAAAGCAATTGAGACTTTCGGGCACAGCACAGCCTTTGTGCCTGAGGTGGACGGCGAACACCCACCGTTATGAGGATGACTCCCAGGTTCTCGAGTTGGATATATCTGGGTTCAACGATAAAAGACGTTTCACTTTAACGAACGTGCATACAGTAAAAAGACTTGAGCTTCCAATGCAGTCTATCGATGCCAGTAAGCTTCAAATCAAGTACGCACACCTGCGAGGCCTTCCGTTGTCCTCCTACGTCGACGCCGCGGACAAAAAAAAGTTCAAAAAAGTGACATTTTGAACGGCACTAGAGGGATTGTTGTAACTTCTCAATAGTTATCGTATATTATATGGTCATTTATCTTCACGATAAAAAAATTTTCATTCCATTATCTCGTTTCTAACCGAAGATCTACGATTTTGAGAAAAAAACTCGTGATTTGCCTATAGTGCGCCGTGCCGAAGCTATTAATAGGTCTGAACAGTCGCCTGGGCCTAAGTCTTCGATCACGTGAAGGGTCTGACAATGAAACGGTAGCAGAAAAGACACGCCTGGGGTGGACACTAAAGGGTGTCCTGGCAACGCAACGACGAAACTCCGGCTAGCATGCATTTCACGTTTGTGATACCGCAGCAAACGCCG